AAAAACAGGCTTAAACATGCTTACCTACATCGAGGTTAAGTTCTTCTTTGATAATGCATGTTTTGCGGCAAGTTTAGGGGAGAAGGAGTTGTTGTTCTGCAAATATTCTCCAGTCGAGTTTTCTTCTTGCTTGAAACATTTCGTCTATTTCTTTCTGGTGACACTAGTAAAATGTGCCACCATTTTGTACTCATGATCACTACCAAAACAACTCAGCCTCGTCGCCAGGTCTTCTTGGTTAACTGCTCAATAATCGGGCAATTTTGCTGCCCAATTGACGACATTTTTCACATATCGCAAATTCCTCCAACTTTGGTGATGAATTACGTGTTGAATTTTACCTTATGAGAAACGGAGAAATAATATTTTGAATGAATAATAATTATATTTCTTTCACTGATCAAAGTTTATTGTTCTTTCAGGTTACTGTAGCGGGTAACACAAACTCAAGAAACAATGACCAACGACAAAATAACTCATAACAAGATGATTTTTTCTCTATCTGAGTGCATCATCTGGGTCTCCTTATTCACTGCCGAGTTTATCGCTATAGTAACAGTGAACCTTCTCTCCATCATTCTTTTTATAAAGAACAGAAGCCTTCGCACTCGCAGCATGCACTTAGTTATAAGCTTAACCGTGGCTGACATGTTGGTTGGAGCCCTTTCCGGGGGAGTTAGTCGGTTATTGGGTATCCTTCAGGATTGCCGCGTTGTAAAATTTAATTTAGCACACTGGGAAAACGACATTTTATACTTAGTTCTTCTCCTTTTCTTTCCTCTTGTCTCCCTGACAAACATTGCTATGATTTCTTTAGAGCGATTTCACGCCACGTTTCGACCATTTAGGCATCGGCTTATCAAGAGATGGGTCTACGTGGTGGCAATTGCTGTTGTCTGGATTTTTCCTGCAGTCATTCGGGTGGTAGGAATGCTTTATGAGACGAGATACATGTATAATCACCTTTACTTGTTGGAATCATACTGCTGTTTGTGTTTACTTGTTACCTTTGTTTCTTACACGTCCATTTTTTTCAAGTCTCGTTTTGGAGCTCATCCTCAGCGCCATTGTGCAGCTGCTTTAAGACAAAGAAAACTGACCGTCACGTTGTTTATAACAACTTTAGTGTCTTTACTGCTATGGCTACCATACAATATCAGTGTTTTCCTTGAATCGACACATGCTATAATTCTTGATTCCCTTTCTTTCTCAGAATATTTTCGTTTGAATTATTCATTAATTTTTTGGTTTTTTGCAAACTCCCTTGTAAATCCCATTTTATACACAATCAGGATGTCAGACTTTCAAAAAGCTCTCCTCTCATTGTTCAGACGTCATCAAAGAGAAAATGCTGCTATCCCGCTAAATCGTTATTAAGGAGGCTATACTGCAAAAGGTAGTCATGTCATTTAACATGTAATTAGCTAAGAATTAAGAGAAGCTGGGGATGCTTTTGATTCATTTAGAAGCAAAGGCTATAGTAGGCTGTATGACGAGGGAGTACCAGAAGAAATAAAGATTATACATTTCATATGAAATGCATTAGTGTGCTCAATTGGAAAATTTGGATTTAGTTTTTGAATGCCAATTTTCCAAAAAGAAATGTGGGTTCTATTCTCGAGATAGATTTCTATTAAGAAATTAAAATCTGGATTACATGGATTTCCTTCTTCATTTTTTTATATTTTTTCTATTCTTTTATTATTGTGTTTGGGTAAACACAAAAAAAAAAAGGATTTGCAAACCTATTCTCGTGAGCAGTGATAGACTAGTTTGTTCTGCCTACAGTCAAGGGACACAAGTATTCGTCACTTTCATAACAGTTAATAGTGAAAACTCGATGCAGGCTGCGCGTTTGGTTAATAAAGGCGGGAAAATCGACAAAAAAAGAAACAATCAAACATCCGACCCAGAGTACGAAAAAAATTGCATAGTTTCCAAAAGAAAAGGAATAGGAGCTGTTTGTGTTTTGACACCTCGTTTATTCAGTCATTCACCAACATTAACTTCAAGGTTAGGTGGGTTTTTGTTTTGCTTCTGAGAATTAATTTTTAGTTCTTATGAGTCGAAAAGCTGCTGAACTGTCAACAGAGACCAAAGAATTAATTGTTACTCTGTCGCATTCCGTGCAAAACAAAGCGGAACTGTCAAGACTGTTGAACACTCCGTTTAACCGCCGCCCGGTTAGCTCAGTTGGGAGAGCGCCGGTCTGCTGAGCGGGAGGCCGTAGGTTCAAACCCCGGCCGGACCAACACTCAGGGTCTTTAAATAACTGGGGAGAGAGTGCTGCCTTTGTAATAACATCTGCAAACGGTTAGACTTTCTAGTCTTCTCGGATAAGGACGATAAACCGTAGGCCCCGTCTCACAAACCCTTGCACATGTAATAAATCTGTGGGACGTTAAAGAACCCACACACTCTTCGTAAAGAGTAGGGCACGTAGTGCCCGGTGTAGTGGTCTATCTCACTTTCACACTCATGTATGGGGGCATCATCACTC